ACTGGGCCAAAAGACATTCAACTTTTAAAATGGATTATTATATAAATAAGAAGTAAGTAATGTAATTGAGGCCTCTAAAAGTTGAAGTGACAGTGGGTCACTTAATTTAGTATAGTGTAAGTACATATTCTTTGCTGTAAATAGTACATGCTCACTTTCTAAGTGATCTTTTTAAAGATACATTAAATATATTCTTTTGTATTGGACCCATAGACGGTCATTAGTTACAACAATCCAGAAATCAAGCTGCATCAATTTCCAATATAAAGCAAATGATCATGGAAAGAAGTCTCCCTCTGAAAAAATTAATTAGAGTACACTAAAAAGGCAATTCTACGAAGAGGATTATTTCACGAGAGCAGTTGAGGGAAACAGGTGCAGCTTTTCTGTGTGCTAAGTACACCGCACTTGACCTGTGGCTGAAGCCTAAACCAAAAGACAGGGCCACAAGCTCTCTCAAGACCTATGAGACCGGACAGTTTACCATGTGCTCTCTATGTTAAGACAAAGTTGTGTATATATCTAGCACACAGGCATTTAAAGGAGTTGAGTTAAAGCTGTTAGATGAACATATGTAGAAAACATGATTAATCTTGGTTTGTAGAAGATGCAGGTAAGGCCAGCCCCATAGTGCAGTGATTAAGTGCTGTATATGCGAAACCTGATCCCACTATGAGCAATCTCAGTTAGATTCCTGGTCCTGGCAGCTTAAAAGTATGCTGTGTGTGTGTGTGTACAAAATCCTACAAGATGGAGAGTGGAAGAAAAAGATTGCATTGCAATTCTGCCCCATTGGGAGGGCCTGCTCTCTCTCTTCTCTGGTGAGCACACATACCCTCTGGCAATTAAAAGAAATGCAGATTAAATATTCTCTAATACAGAAAAAGAAAGTTTTTAAAATGTACACGTTTATACTAAATGTAAGCGGGTTATTTTATAATTGTTGAGTTTCCTTGAATGTTTTGTTCTGGGGAGGTGATACTTTGTGCTGTTCTGTGACATTTATTAGAAGGTAAGTATGAAGTATTAGTGTAGTCAGTCCTATGTGGTATAATGCTTATAGTTCATACCCTTCCTCTCTATCACACACCCTACTCACTCATTACCGACAAGCATATAGGTCAGTCATTTCTTGCTCCTTTACCTGTCTAATTCTTTCTACTGGTGCTGGACAGAGTAGGATCACTAGTGCTCATGTAAATCCCAAACTTGGGGCCAGCAGATGGCATATTGTTTAAGGTCCTGATCTCCCACATAGATGACCATGATTTGAGTGCCAGACCTGGTGGCTTGAAACTCATGCTAGGCGCATGTGCATGTGTACCCCAAATCCTGAGAGAGATTGGAGAAGGAATTGCAGCTTGACCATCTCCCAGGGAGTGATTTCTAGCTTCTGTCTTTCTGTCTCTCTGTGTCTCTCCAGCAAACACACACACCCTGTAGCAAAAATATCTCAAAACAACAACAACAAAAACAAAACTCATAATTTAGACACACACCCCCCACCATCATCTAAAAGATTTAAGAATGTGTCTAGGTCATTCCTAATGTATTCCTAGAAGTTTTTCCCCCTGCAAATCTGACTTCTTCTTCCTCATCACATGATTCAGACAGTTTTCTCCTGTTCTTTAAACCATCACAACTTAGGGTTTCCTTTTCTTTTCTCTCTATTCATGGCAGAACACATATGCACACATTGGGAGAGTAGGGCGGGAGAGAAACACCCTTCACAGGATCTGGTCATGCAGTGATCTCCTTCCTCTGGTTCTCCAGCCTGTCAGAGTCAAGACACTCATGTGCCTGGTGTGTCTCAGGCAGACTGAGCCAGGGATTCGAACCATAGTCACCCAGTGGAATCTGGCTTATTTTGAACAATGCGTTACTGTTGTGCCACAGAGCCAGTGTTTCACAACTAACTTCTTAGTGTGGCATTCAGATACTTAGCTGACTTAGCTGATACAATGAAAATTTGGGGGGGAAATTAATTGTGACTTTGAGGGCAGTTAGATAATCAGTATCGTCACTGAACTTAGAGCCCTGGGATTGACTGTCCCGGGAGCAGCTCTAAGACTTACAAGCTGGGGATGTGGCTCTTTGGTTTTCGTGAGAACAGGCTAAGATTTACAGCCAATGTGGGGAAGTGGTAATTACCTGAAAATTTGCTGGGGTGGGAGAACAGGTGCCAGGAGCTGCTCCAGAGGATTGTGCAGAGTACGGCCCAGCCTCATGTTGCTCCCTGTGTAGCGCTAAGGGCTTCAGCTGACGTATTTCTTCCTCCTCAGGCTCTCAGGGGCCATGGACTGGGTGGACACCTGCCCATCTCTTCTGGAAATGTCTCCCTTCACAGGACAGGCCCTTAGCTCTGTCCCCATACACAGCTGGTAGACCCAGAACTGCTGTAGGGCTTCTTGTAGGTGCCGCGGGTGACCGGGCGGAAAGGAAGCTTGGGCGACTGTGTGGCCTTGTTTCGATGATGAACCGGGGACCGGAAAGAACTGCGTTGTGATTAGATAAAGGAGGCGGATACCCAAAGCAGAGTGGGGCATTCCCGGTTCCAGGCCCTCCTTCTGTGAGTAGAAAAGAGGTCCCAGATCCAGCCTGGCAGGCAGTCTCTGTTTGGAGCAGTGCTTCTCAAACTGTGTTGTGCCTGGGAGCCCCTGGGAAGGGGGACAGTTAAAACACAGTGTCTGACTCAGGAGGTGGTCGCTGTGGTGCAAGATCTTGCATTTTCTCCTTTTTTTCTTTCAGGTTTTTGCCATAGGGCACGTATTCTCACAGAAGACAGAGACAATGAGAGAGAAAGTGAGAAATTACCCCCCAGGGAGGATGGCCCACACTGCATGCAGTGTCTTCTCCATTCTCTCAGAAGTTCTGGGCACACATGCACAAACACCCAGTGTGATTTTCAAACCAGGTCTGGGACTCGATCTGCAGTTGACCACGTGGGAGTTCAGGGCCTTAACCACTATACCACCCGCTAGCCCCAAGATCTTGCATTTTCTAGCAAGGCTTCAGGTGACACACTGCTGGTCCAGACCCACCCGAGTAGCAAGTGCCTCGCATACCCTCATCGGAAAGGAGAAAGATTGAGAAGATGGGGTAAAGAATGACATTCCATGAAAGTAATTCTTATTTTCTTGTAGTTTGCCATAGGATGTGTGCACGTCCCCCAGAGAGACAGAGAGAGGGAGAAAAATCTCTCCCTGACCCCCCGGGGGGTAGTGGCCACACCACAATCCCTTCTCTGTTCTCTCAGGACTTGGGACATCCTCTCAGGATCACAGCCTTGGTGTGCTTTTCAAGCCACTGGGTCCCGGACTCGAACCGTGCAGTAGGTCCTGTGGGAGTCCAGCCACCTTCACCTCAGCACCCCCTGCTGACCCCACAGTGATTATTTTCAATTAACGTCATTGTTTTCCAAATCACTGTTAACTCATGAATAGAAGTTTTAGAATTAGCCTTACCATTTTTCAAGCACCGAGTTAAAATTATTCTTTACTCCCAGGAAGTCCTTGTATACCGATGACAAATGAGCCGGACGGATTCTCATTACAGGCCTGTCTAGAAGTTGACCCATTCCCAGGCCGCGGCCATCAGGATGCGGGGGCTTGCACTGCTAAGGGGGTGTGTCAAATCCCAG